CGGGCGCCCCCCCCGGGCCCGCCCCGCCCGCCGCTGCGGTCCGAGCCAGAGCTCAGAGCCAGGGTAACCCGGACAGTCGTTCATGTGGGTTGAGTTGACCAGTCATGGGATCCGGCGCTTTGGGCTCTGCTGGCCGTGCGCAAATCAGAGAGAGAATTTGCGTGTCTAAAATTAGGCATCAAAATGTGGGTTTAGACACGAAAAGGAAACTAGGAAAAGGCTTTGGGCTCCACTGGGAGAGAAGCATTGTACAAAGGGAGAAACTAACATACAGGGACACCATTTAGTTATTTTGAGTGTCGTGTTTCTGGTTTTCAGAGTAGGGCTGACAATCAGAATAACTCTGACCCTTGCACTTTGGAAGGCACTTTCGTTTGAAAGTATAAGAAATATGCTTCCAACAGGGTACAAATAAAATCTGTGTATAATCATGGAGTCATAGATTTTCGTCTACCTTACATGGAGTGAGTAAAATTGGAGTTATGGTTACAATTTTGCACGCATATTGTTATCTCAGGAAATATAAACTTTGCAGTGTTCTCACACTGCAGAAGAGACACAGTGAGCGCAAAGGTAATACTTTAAATTCTCTGAAGTCTGCTAGGGAACTCAATGTGCTGTTTTAATTTCTCTGGAAGAAGTGTAAATAGGCACTATAGAAAATTTTTTAGGCTACATATGAAAATTATTCTACATTAGGTGGGGTGTGAATTTAAAGCACAATAGCTAATCCTGAATTAGGGCTGAACAGAGAAAGAGATGACCGATTACCCATTTGTTTCCTCAATAACACTATGTACTGACATTTGTATGTGTGTGTGTCTTTCTTTCTTTTAGTTCCAAAGGGGATTAATCTAGTTTGGAAAAAGACACTTTTATTCTTAAATAGCTGCATGTATAGATAAACCTCTCAGTACACAGAAAGTACAATGAGAACTAGAAATTCTCAAACTTCCCTTTTATTCTTAAATAGCTGCATGTATAGATAAACTCTCAGTACAGAGAAAGCACAATGAGAACTAGAAATTCTCAAACTGCTAAACTGATAAATGCATTTTGCAGTAACTATAGAAGCAAAAGAGGGTCTCCAATATCCTAGACTATGCTTTCAAATAAAAAATTAAATTATTTGACAATTTTTTTTAGTCTTGTTCATTCTTTTAGGTTTAGAAGATTACAAAGCATGGAGAGAAGCCTGTTTAAAAAAATAATGTAAGATCTTAGAGTTATGAACACCAGCGTAATGAACTGACCAGTCAACTACATATCTCACTTGGAACTGGAAGTACTTAGGCAGAAGAGACAAAACAAATTAAGGATGTAAAAATGTATAAAAAATATTAACCATGTAACTGATCAAAACTTGATCGGTTACACAGTTAAATGTGTTACCTGAGGGTGTAGGAGTAGGGAGGAAAGGGTGCTAGAGGACTCCCTAGCCTCACAGGGATTTTCTGGCTGCCAGCCTGGTAGGCCTGGCTGCCAGTCACATGGGCTCCTGGCCCCATGTTGCCTAACAGAGTTTTAGTGTTTAACTGTTAACAGGAATGTATAAGCATCGGCTTTATTGGTTAACTGATTAACCAGTTAAACTCTTACATCCCCAAAACAAACAAAAACTCACCAAAACAAATACTGTACAAAACTGTTAAAGTACTTAAAAAGGGAAAGGGTTTTTTTTGTTTTTTTTTTAAAGTTTGACAGGGTATGGAAACTTTCTGGTCTTGTTTAATTTAAATTAAGATAGTTAAAAGCAGCATTTTTCTTCTGCACTGTAAAGTTTCAAAGCTGCATTGATTCAATGTTCAGTTTTAAATTGCTTTGAAAGAACTGTAATATTTTGTTCAGAGTTACAAAAAACCTCCATTCCTGAGGTGTTTGTAATTCTGAGGTTCTACTACATCTGTCATTTAACTTCTGTTTTATCACCAGAGTTTGTGTGTGTTGTAGAAAGTTTTTGCTACATGGACAGCAAGGAAAGTTTAGAACTTAGAGGTAGTATGGAGAAAGAAGTAGCAGTGTCCTACGAGAGCAGTTCACTCGGCAAGATAGTGAACTCATAACCTCAGACATCGTTGAGCCTAATGGTCAGCATGTGCAGAAACAGGCCCAATAGTTCTGCATTGATAGTGTAAGTGAACAACTATTTAAGAAAATGTGGTCACTTTTTTAGATTACTTTTTTTATACATTTGCTTTTCCCTTATTCATAACTCCCAAATTACCCTGTGCTTTGAAATATCATGGTACAGAATATATTAAAGCAGTTGCATCTTTATTTTGCTGGCAGTTTTAATGTACAGGCAGTCCCCGGGTTACGTACAAGATAGGGACTGTAGGTTTGTTCTTAAGTTGAATCTGTATGTAAGTCGGAATTGGCATCCAGATTCAGCCGCTGCTGAAACTGACCAGCGGCTGACTACAGG